CCGTATCGGTCTATCACTCAGTGTGGATGACAACAAAGACACTGGTACCTGAAAATCAACCATGGAGAGGATTTCTTTGCGCCACTCAATGAGGAAAGCAGCACAGACGTAGAGGTGGAAGTGGGAGAAACCCTCTGCTTCAGCCTGTGGAAAACAGGACAAAAGTTACAAGCAAACCCAGTCAACTTAACAAATACTGCCTAGTGGATCACAATTGCAGCAGTGTAAATTCTATAGTAGTTTTTCAGGCTGTAGGTAGTGCTGCTGCTGCTGATGGTGGTGGTGTACACTCTGCTCTACCTGATAGGTGTCCCAGAGACGGATAGTGCAACGAAGTGGCAGCTCCCTCATTAGCAGATTGTTCATCCACCGGAAAGCAAACTGCAGGTACTCCACCTCATATTTCTTGAAATGATTGTGAATGTCCTCTGAAGACACACACATTTGCAGATGTTAAAACTGTGTGCAGCCTTCTATCACGTTCTACATGTATGAGCTCATAGTAAAGCCCAAAGTAAAGAGTAATGAGCAGTAAAGGCAATTTAAAACCTAATGTGACACATGAAAGGACTGACACTGACCATCTATCCTGCTGACCAGCTCCTCTAAAGCTTTCACTTTGTTTTGGATTCCAGGCTGAGCAAAGGTGTAGTTGTCCTGAAATAATACCATTTTCAGTAAACCGGCACATGTACTGTTTGAAATTATAGTTTATTGAGATGTATGTGTGTGTGAGCAGACCTGTATTCCATCCAGCAGCTTGCTCATGCACCAGAAGCTGTCAGCTTCGATGTTTCTCTGGGTATCCAAAGGCAGCGCTGCCACATCAAAGTTCTCAACATCCTCCGCTGGAAAGACAAAACACATTTAATGGAACAGAAAAGGCCTGACTCATGCAGATGAAGATTCCTAGATTTGAATGAATGCTGCTTTCTACCAAAGTTGGTGGAAGAAATGTTTATGAACTTGGATGTGGTAACAACTCGGGATGCCCCATAAAAGTTGATGATTGGAGTCATCAGTTGAGAAGAAATCTACTGGCATTGTATCAATCAAATCACTGCTTCACTGCATCATTGGATACAGAGCCATGTAGAAGTCTTGTCTCAAAATGACCTAACCACAACACTAGTCGGTGCTGACTGAAAATCCTGATTAGGGGACAGCCCCAGTAACAACACTGTAAAATAGAGGAACAGAATCAAAGGCTGGTCCAGTGTGAATATGACAGGGCTCTATGCAGGAATTTTCCCACCGGTAACTTACTGACAAACTCAGACAGGAAGACGACAAAGAAGGGTGTGACCAGATCGTTGATTCCCTGGACGTAACCACTGGCTGGGTGACGGATGGCCCAGATAAATAGAATACGCTCAAACACCTGAGGAATGAAAGACAACAACAAAATGTGTTTGGTGTAAATGTCTAAACTCAGGCCAGAAAAAGGTCTGGAAATCATTTGCCAAATTACAAATCTTTAAAAAGTACCTGTTGGAGTCAGAAAAATACTCAGAAAAACGCTCTGGAGTCTGCAGAATCTATGCGTAAGAGTTTTATTGGAGTCAAAACACCAATGTCGAGAACTACAACTTGTGAATTAGAACTCTTCTTTTGCTGATCCTCCACCTATTTATATTCAAATTAGAACCTTAAAAATTTGGAAACAATGATATAATCTCTTAAACAGTGGTTATGTTTTGTATATGCCCAAATACAGACCAGATCTAATGCCGTTTATTTTTTTACATAGCTGATCTTGTCTTGGCCTGTCTGTGACCTGCCATGATCTCACTCCCATAAGCTGTCATTTGGACTTTATCGTTACCTTGACTCTATCTCATCTTATTTTTTGGGTTCTTACACAAAGAGAGCTGGGTATTTCCTGCCCAAACACAGAGACACACACGTGATATTTTCACACTGACTTCTCTGTTCAGGACATGATTGTTTTCCAACCCTCTGAATTCTGTAAACATACAGTTTTAACAGCAAAATGTGAATGGATTTACTTATCCTTCTAACTTTCATGTAATTTCAGTTGTATTTTTACATTTGTATTTGTATTTATTAGAAGATTACGACACAAACACCAGAAGAGCTTCAACTTACAATTCTGGTATTTTCCATATATGGTAGGTTGCTTTGAGTTAAGCTATTTTACAATTGCTTTGGCTCAGTTGTTACACAACAGAGTTTCAATGTGTAAAACTCTTGCTGCAAAGAGCCAAATTAAAACAAAACATTACATCACATGCTCAATTCAATTCAATTCAATTGTATTTGTATAGCGCAAATTCATAAAAGAAGTTATCTCAGGACACTTTTCAAATAGAGCAGGTCAAGACTGAACTCCTTATAACATTTACAGAGACCCAACAGTCTGCCTCGACTAGTTGGGGTTAGAGAGAGAGAGAGAGACAGAGAGACAGACAGACAGAGAGACAGAGAGAGAGAGAGAAGGACAGAGACAAAGGTGCACAGCACTGCCACTGACAGTTTGATCTGAGTTTGGTGCGTTGAGCTGGACAGACTCGCTGAGCCACGCCCTGAAGCATACCCTGCTTTATGGTCTATTTTACTCTGAATGGGACATTTACTAAATGAACATCATGCNNGACTGAAACTAGAGATTGAGACCAGAAACTCATTAGACTGTTTACTGAGCTAATAAATCAAGTGGTTTGGTGCCAGTCGAGCTCCCCCTGCTGGCCATTACATAACATGCAGGTTTAGGACAATTGGCATCACTTCAGAGACCCGGAAGCTCTGTCCATTATATATAGTGTCAATGGTATAGACCCACATCCTTCAAACTCCATGCCATGTTGCAAGTTTGTAACACAGGCTCTATGTTACATTTAGAAACTAAGTTCAATTCAGGGTTATTTTCTAAGACTTAGAAAGCTCTCATCAGTCACGAAAGGCATCACACACTGGCTTCCACAGAGTAATACTCCTCATGGAAAGGAAACTGACTTTGATGTGTAAAATCAATGGAGTGCTCCTTTAAACTTACAAGTAATGTAAATATCTAAAGTTTGGTTTGTTGAGATGCAGAAACAGTAACTTATACAGTCACAGATCATTTCCTATTGGAGGGAAGTTGGATGCAATGTAGTGTAAAGCCAGACTCTAGACTATGTTATCTATATTTATGGTGAAATAAGCTACTTGTGCATTCTTGAGGAAGAGACCATTGAGAACTCTGCTTACTGTTTGATGGCATTAGGTTTTTATTTTGTGTGCAATGTAAGATCTTGTACAGCATGTTAAGTTAAGAGTTCTTCTGAAAAAAGAAAAACTGAAAATGTGAGCAAAAGCAACTGTAAAGTACTGTAATAACTCAGACACTGTGCATTATTATTATTATTATTATTTGAGTCTATGCTTAGGGCTAGCCATAGTGCGCAATATGGTGGACGGTTATGGGTTACATCAGACAAAACTCTCCACATAAAACACCCCTTCCAAATGAATTCATCATTTTGTAAAATCATAATACCTTTACGATTAATCCTCTGAAAGTTGATAATGCTGATTTTTAATAAATAATTATTGCCCTGCTGTGATTACACCCAATCACAGGTTTCTGGTTATTCTGTACACAAATCTAGTGTTTTGAAAGCCATAAAATCACCACATTTGAGGAACAAGCCACAATAAGTGAAGTTCCTTTTTACAGATAAGTTCCTCTGTAGTTTAGTAATCGGATGCAGGTTCTTTTTCAGTGGCTAGCAAATGCTCTGTCATTGTTACAGCACAGTATCATTGACAGGGTCATGACTTATCTAAGTTGGTTGGATCAAACAAGGAGTGCCTCCAATCTCATCTCTGTTTCTCCGTCTCTGTTTAAGATTAATAAAGGGACAATTCAGTTTTTTTAAGTGGGGTTGTATGAGGTACTTACTCATAGTCAGTAAAAATTGTATTACAGTAGACTGCGGTAAACAAGACCACAGTTTGGTGAAGCAGACAGGAGTTACTAAAATAGGCATCAGACTACACCTGTACTTGTCAATGAGGACAGCCTTGAAAATGAGGGGTTGAAGGGGTTATTCCTAATAAAGAATTTCCAACAAAACCTGTATTTAGAACATTTTCACTGCTTAACCTTTTCTGGCAGACAGTCCTTTCCAACAAATACCTTTCCTTCTTTGACAAAAACAGTAATTTTACTTCACAGCACAGCCGAGGTGCTGGTCAAGTGCTGCCCCGATCGGTTACTTAGTTTGTGTTATTGTGTAACTTTGGTGTTTTAAACGTTAGTTTGGATCCAAACTAATTAGTTGCTGAGGATGAGGATTTTCCTGACTCACAATGCTCACAATGGTGGTCAGCATTTATGAAACACACTTTTGTGGCGTGCTTGGCATCGGAAGGTTGTTGGGTCCCCGGCTCATCCTGCTTGTCCTTGAGCAAGATACTGAACCCAAGTTGCTCCCAATGCGTGCATTGGTGTGTGAATGTGAATGAATAAGTAGGTTCCTGTTTGGCTTTTCCATCACTGAGTGAATGTATGCGAAACGGTGAATGTGGCACGTAGTGGTAAAGCGCTTTGAGTGGTCGGAAGACTAGAAAGGTGCTATACAAGTACAGGTCCATTTACCATACAGTTAATTTCCAAGACATTTTGTTATTTTAATCAATTTCCAGGTGTTTCCATGACCAGACTTTCCAGATTTTTCAGGACGCGTGGGAACCCTGCCAGCCAGTTTCAGAGGAACCCGAGTTAGGCTAGATAACTGACTAACCCACTGATTTTGCTTTACTTAATTTTGACTGATGCATTAAAACAAACTGAACACAAAAATGCACCAAAGTAAGGGATCCCAACTTGGTTTACAGACAACACTATGAGTGAACGACTCTCCAAAACAAAAAATCACCCATGTGCACTTTGGATGAACTACTACTAGATATTTGAAATTGCACTTCCAGTAGTTTAGATCTTACCTCTTGTACTACAGGCTGCTGGAACAAAGGAATCAGAGGGTTGGTTCTTGGAATGTCGATGTGGATCTAACAGGAAGAGAGATTATTGAGATGTTACCCAAAGCAAATAACACATTTGTGTGGTTCTGATATTATTTAATAAATATCATATTGTGTTGATGTTTTGACTGATGAGTAGTAGCAGTCTAAAGGTTTATCTCCATGAGTTCACTTTACCTGTCTGTATGTGTCTTTATAGTGCTCGTCTGTTCTGGAATGGTAATACTGCTCTATGAAGCCAAAGTATTCTTCTCGCTTCCTTTTTAGCACCAGCTCTCTGCGCTCCTTGTTGGCCGGCAGGTAGCCCTGTCAGAGACCGACGCGAGAAAGTGCCAGTGAGGAGAAGCTTTGTTCTGATTATGTGAACGGTTTAAGAGGAACAGAACAGGCCGGCCATTTGAGATAAGACAAAGGAGAGGAGATAAGGCTCCCTGCAAGGATAAGGCTTTTGACATGATGTAAGCATTTTCTAAAGAGGAATTATTGGCTACATAGAAACTTAAAACCGTATACAGGACTCTCAAAGAGGCTTTGAGAATGTGCAACAAGGAGCAGAGCATGTGATATTTAAAAACTGAAGGTCATTAGACTTACAGAGAGAAGTCTCCATGTGATTGGCCGGACTTCTCTTGGTATGCCCGACCAGCTGTGTTTCCGGAGCTCCTCTGTAACAGCACAGAACAAGATACAAACACACATATCAAAACCGGCTGTAACCCAGAGTGTAGTGTCAGCTTGGAACCATTAGCTGCTCCATATCTGCCTTGTGAAGGTGTGTGGCTGTGTTGCTCTCATACCCAGGTCAGTGTTGGGATTAGCCAGCAGCTGTTTGAATTTGTCCAGCCGGCTCTTTTCCCGCACTGTCATGGGTGGTGCCCCCGATGCGTTCTGGTCTGAGATGCGAGCCACAAGTGGGATGATGGGACGAACTGGGAGAGTGTGCTGCTTCTGTAGCGTGGAGCGAACTGCACAGGGCAACACAAGAGAATTGGGGAAAATCTAAAAGATTTAGTGGCATCTAAAAGTCAAGTTGCAGATCGGAACTAACTGAATACCACTCGCATTCCAAGTGTGTAGATGTTAAGGCTGCAGCAGACACTGCCCCCATGTATTTAACCCTTTCTCGTAGGACTGTGTGTATGTAAGTATGATGTGTGGTCCCCAGTGCTCGATTGGCTTCAGCAGTGTGGCCTATCCTCACCTCTCCTACTCCTACCTCTTGAGCCGAAGAACTCTCCAATCCAGAGACAGCAATTTAGGGAACTCAAACTATAAAAGCCTGGGCAGCCTGAGAGTCAGGGCCGCTCGGCAACATGCTTATTGTTGTTTAAGGTCAGGCTGATAGCTATTAATCTGGTATTAACTTGTGAAACTAGTGCTGAGGCACTTGTTTTCTACCTGGGGACTGGGCCAAGTATTGATTTTAGAGACACTTTTAGGTTTAGGGGTGCCTGTTTGTACTGTTTTTTTGTCTTATTAAGCCGAGTTGGTTAGTGAGGTTTTTCTTTTCATTTTTCATTTCTTAAGAAGTAAGTTATACGCTCTTCTTAATAAGTCCTCTTTTAGTTATATTAATTCCTTTGATTTAAACAGCATCCACTAGCCCTTTTCCTTAGTAGCTTTGCCTCATCTATTTTTGTCTCTAAGAACTCCCCCCCCCCCCCCCCCCCGACAATGTCTGTAATTAGCTTCATTGTGAATCACTAGATAAGCTGCTCAATAGCTCTTAAACCCGAGAAACTGCTGACACATATTACCCACATACCTGAGGACGCGTTAAGGTGGGCGTCACTACTGGACTTGACAACCTTGCCGTTGACGTGCTCGCAGTCCGTGTCCTCCTCCTGCGCATCCTGGAGGTTTTGAGCTTCTGTCCTGGGAGCTGGCAGCCTGTGTGACACCTCAGTTTCTGTGACACCTGCCTGGTTCTGCTGCTGCTGAGTGGAAAGACACCTGAATATCTCCTTTTATTTCACACCAACTCAATGCCCATAATAGTTCCATGGTAAAAATGATACCTGGTTCTGCATGGATGTGGAGTGCAGGCCTGATGGCAAGGATGAAATTGGAGCGTGGGTCCCGAGAAAATCCTCGTCCTCCTCATCGTCAATGTCCCATGCATCGTTGGTGCTGCGGGCAAACTCATGGAAGCTAGAGGCCTTTTTAGACTTGAGATTGTTGAACTTGGGTTTTATGTCTTTGGGATACCTGCAAAGGGACAGATCCAGAAATCAAACAGACAGAAAAAGAAAGAATTGAATGGTCTCATTTACGGCAGCACTGGTAGCTAATATACACAGAATGGAACAAAAGGAACAAAACTACAAATCCAACAATAAAAGGCAATAAAACACTGAAAGTCTCTAAAACAGATTTAACAATGGAAATGCAAACACTGGGTCAAACTGATACAATACTGCTGCATGCAATCCACACTTGTTCAAGTACTCAAAGCATGGAACAATGTGCTGCAAAAAAAAGGGAGTGACGCAAATAAAACGCATCCATGTGGGTGACACGACGCCATGCAGTCCAGCTGGGTTTAGCACTTACGTGCGTCGCAATCGTGGGTCGAGAGGTGGATGCTGTGCTCCATAAACTGGCTGTACACTGTAGAAGATGACATTTGAAATGCGATCACCTCTGTGCAGTAAAAAGCATGCAGCTTCCCCGCCTTTGACCAGCAAGTCCTGTCCTTGTTGCTCTTGTAACACATATTATCCTTTTGTCTCAGTAAATAGCTCACTCCCCTTAAAATCAATATCAAATTTACTGACATGACATGTTGGATTCACCATATGGCTGCCATACATATTGTGCCCACTCAGTATTATTATAAGCCATATATACATATATATAAACTATATATCACCATTTGGTTCACTTCTGTAATTCTGACTCAAAATTAT